CATCAGATAAGGCTTTGCATCCTGAACAGATAGACTGGGATCTGGAGAGGTGTCGAAGACACTAAACACCAAGAAGATTGTACTTCCCTAAAGAACTTAGCCGATGAGGAATCCATGGGGCAGTGAAATGTAATTAGGAGTATAAGAAACACAACTTTGCGCCAAATTGGCGTGCCAGCCAGTTTTGTTTTTTCCTGTAAACTGATACCTGATTTTTCAAGGTCAAAAACTAACCTGGGTAGACGTTGCTGCTCTGAGTCCCCGCTGCTCATTTATTTGTTTTTGTCTGTTTTTAATGTGTACGGGTGTTTGCTTGTGTGTTAGTCTGTGCATCACGTGCATGTCTGGTGCCCTTGGAGGTGAGAAGAAGGCATCAGATGCACCGGAGCTGGAGTTACAGGTGGTTGTCACCACTACATGGGTCATGGGGATTGGACCCGGGGCTTCATGAATGTCAGGCAAGCACTCTACCAACTGAGCTATAATGAGGATCATTTTTTTTCTTATACTATCTGTAAAACGTGTGTGTGGGGGAGGGGATGGGACTACAAAGGTATGAGACCCAGAAAACCTGTCTGCCTCTGTCCTCCCAGGTGGGTTTGGGTGAGGGCGGTGGTTATACTTGCTTACAAGAGGAGATACAGGGGGCTGGAGAGATGGCTCAGAAGTTAAGAGTGCTGGCTGCTCTTCCAGAGGTCCTGAGTTCAATTCCCAGCACCTACATGGCGGCTCACAACCATCTGTAACTCCAGTTCTAGAGTATCCTCTTTGGGCCTCTGTGAGTCCCAGGCATGTGTGTGCGCAGACACATGTTCAGGTAAAACACCCATATACATCAAAATAAAATAAAAAAGAGGAGACACAGGGCCGAAGAGAAGGGTCAGCAGTTTATTACTCTTCTGGAGGACTCAGCAATGGCCTGAAACTCCTGTGCTAGGACATGCTATGCCCTCTGGAGTCCGAGCCTGAACATGGTGCACATGAACTCACACAGGCATACATACATGCATGCATACATATACTTTTTTAATTATAAAAAGTAAAAGAGCTTGCTAGTGGTGGTGCACATCTTTGATCCCAGCACTCGGGAGGCAGAAGCAGGCAGATCTCTGTGAGTTCGATGTCAGCCTGGTCTCCAGAGTGAGTTCCAGGACAGCCAAGGCTACACAGAGAAACCCTGTCTTGAAAAACCCAAACAAACAAACAAATGAGAAGACACTGAGGATTCTTCTGACACTGCAAACTCAGCTGAGGTCGGCCTCTGAAAAGGTCTCCATATGGGAGCTGGTAAGATAACTCACTGGATAACAATTACACAACAGCACAATCCCAGAGACCTGAACTCTACCCCAGAACCCACATAAAGGTGGAAAGAGAGAACCAACTCCTCAAAGTTGTCTTCTGACATCCTCACTTGCACTGTGGCATGCAACCCCACATGTGCAATAATAAACAGATTACTTAATTAAATGTCTCTACGATAACACAAACCATTTTGTAAAGATATTTTATAGAATCATATGAGAAAATCCCAACACAACAATGGAGAAAGTCTTAAATAGTTATTAGAATCATAAATGACCACCATGAATTTGAAGAAGAAAAGTCTATCCTTAGCAGGAATCAAAAGACATTCAATTAAAATAATAAATATGGGCTAGGGATGTAGCTCAGTTGGTAGGATGCATGCCTTGCATCCTCAGCACAGTATAAAAAACGGAAGCAGCGGTATACATCTGGAGGCAGGAGCACCAGAAGTTCAAAGTCATCCTGTCTACACTGTAAGTTCAACACCAGCTTGAGCTACAAGAGACCCTGTCTCTTAAAAATATTTATTAAGACTGGAGAGATGGCTCAGAGATTAAGAGCACTGGCTGCTTTTCCCAGAGGTCCTGAGTTCAATGCCCAGCAACCACATGGTGGCTCATAGCCACCTATGATGAGGTCTGGTGCCCTCTTCTGGCCTGCATGCATACATGCAGGAAGAAAACTACAATAATAAATAAATCTTTAAAAAATAAATTAAAACTAGCTGGGCGCCAGGCGGTGGTAACGCATGCCATTAATCCCAGCACGTGGGAGGCAGAGGCAGGCGGATCTCTGTGAGTTCAAGGCCAGCCTGGTCTACAAGAGCGAGTTCCAGAACAGCCTCCAAAGCCACAGAGAAACCCTGTCTCAAAAAACCAATAAATAAATAAATAAATAAATAAAAATAAGCAAACAAATAAATAAAAATAGCTGGGTGTGGTGATGCTGATGCACACTTTTAGTGCTGGTATTTGGGAAGCAGAGAAAGGCAGATCTCTGTGAGTTCGAGGCCAGCCTGGTTTATAGAGCCAGTTCCTGGATAGCCAGGGTTACACAGAGAAACCCTGTCTCCATAAACATATATATTATGTAGAAAGTATTTTTTGCAAAGAAAAATCTAACTGGAATTAGATCAAGCTTCTATCTATAGCCATTAATCTTATAGTAGAGAAACACTGAGTCAGGGAATTCTATCAGCAAAATCTAAACAAGCCAAACATTTCTCAACAACTGATTTCAAGAAAAGAAAATGAATGGCAGGATGGAGAAAGAGAGAGACATTACACAGTTAAAGAGACAACAGACAAGTCAACCAAATTCAACCAGCCATGTAGCCCTTGGCTTGGATCAAACAAATTAAATGTAAAAACAAAACAAACAAAAAGCAAGTTACAGTCAAGACTCTTGAACTTGATGAATGTTTTGTAACACAGAATTATTATTATTATTTATTATAGCATTGCACTTCTGTTTATTGATAAAATGTAAGATGCTGGGCCCCACACTCTGATGACAGGGCGGAGAGATGCTTCAGAAGTGAAGAGTGCTGACTGTTCTTGCAGAGGACCCGAGTTCAGTTCCCAGCACCCACATGGTGGCTCACAGCCACCTGTAACTTGAGTTCCAGGGGACCCAACACGGGTTCCAGCATGAATGTGGTGCACATACATAATCTTAGAAATGCACACATAAAATAAGGTTAATGGGGGGGGGGGGGCTGGAGAGATGACTCAGCTGTTGGGAGGGCTGACTTCTCTTTCAGAGGACCTGAGTTCAATTCCCAGCACCCACATGGCAGCTCACAACTGTCTGTAACTCCAGGATCTGACACCCTTACACAAACATACATGCAGACGAAACACCGATGCACATTAAATAAAAATAAAATTAAACTTTAAAAAAGTAAACGTTTTACAAGTAGGAGCTACCTAAACTCATACAAAAAGAAAACATCCAAGTGGGGGAGGGGCTTGCTCAGAAGAAAGCTTCAGTGAGTATAGGGAGTAAGAGAGGGGGGTTGGGGGAGGGGTGTGAGAAGATGACAAATTTCATCATATGTATAAAATTGCAAAACAGTAAAAGCTTGAAAAATAAACACAGTGCTTGGAATTTCCTTTAAAACAAGCCAGAGATCCTGGTAACACACCTTTAATCCCGGCACTTAGGAGGCAGAGGCAGGTGGATCTCTGTGAGTTTGAGGCCAGCCTGGTCTACAAGAGCAAGTTACAGGTCAGGCTCCAGATCTACAGAGAAACCCTGTCTCGAAAAACCAAAATAAAATAAGATAACCCAGGGATGACAGCAGCGGTAAGATTATAAATGAAATGAGGTTACTTAATTAATAATTATAGTATAATTACATTATAGCAATCTATTTATTTATGATGTCATTCGGAATTCTATTTTTTTTGTATCAAGACATTTTCATAGTCAAAAGTCGTGGAAAAACTGTGCCCCACAGTATGTACAAGGCAGAAAGTTAAGTGATGGCGTTGTGTCTGAAGTCTGAAAGATGAGGAGTGAAAACTGGGGAAACTACATTGGTACATCTACGATATCCTCAAAACCTGCTGGAAAGAACACACATATCAGAAAGGAAAGCAATGTTTAAGACGGGTTGTGGCTCAAAGCGGCAGGGAAAGTGATTTCCTAGCAGGGGACAGTTCCTTCCTTTGGGAGGCACCAGCTGAGACCTGGTCCCCACCTCTGCCACCCAAGCAGAGCTGACAGGAAGGTGTAAGAGAAAAGCGATGTCGTGACTTGTGAGCTGACTTTGAGCTACACAGAATGCCAGTCACTCCTTAGCAGATGGGGAAACTGAGGCTAGAGGGGTTGATGGTCTGAGGAAACTAGTGTTGTGTGCTCACTGGAACTAATGTTGTATGCTCACTGGAGGGCACGCCCTTTCTTACACTCCCTGAAGCCAGCCCTGTGAGATGTAAAGCGGTTCCCCCCTAGAAACTCCCCTTTAACCATCCGAGTTAGTCTCCCTTCTCTCTGTGGGTCTCGGAAAAAAAACCCCAGAGTCACAGTCTTGGTGCCAGGCCTTTCTGCTTGGCTGGAGCAAGAACCCAGGGGCCTGGGGTTTGTTGCTAGGTCTGCCTTGGCGCTGTAAGGCTGGAGCTCACTGCTCAGCTAGACATGGAGGGTGTAGCCATAGCTCTTGGACCATACTGAGAAAGAAGACGCCTCCTCACCTCACTACAGACCCCTCCGGCATCCGGGCAGGTGAGACGGTACCTTTTTTCCGTCTGCCTCCTCAATGGTGGTGCTGGCCCTGCCCGGACCATTGACCCTTTCAGACTCTTCATCCGTCACCGTGCCCTTTGCCGTCCTCCCCTGGATGCTCTGGCCCCAGGGCGGCCACACCCTGCAACTGGGACCTCCGCCCAGGCCGCCCGCGCTCTCCTAGGCATCCGGTTGCCACATTCCTTTCCCCCAAATCTTTCTTTCCCTGTTTCTTCCTGCATTCCCATGTCTCTCCTTCTTGTTTGTGCTTTTCTCAAACTCCCTTCTCTAGCTCTCCTGGTCCACACGCGTTTATCTTCAAAGCCTCTTCCGCTCTCAACCTCCCCTCGTCTTATTCATCCCTTCCCTTTTCCATCCCGGTGTTTCTATTTTCTGTCACCATCACCTTTCCCACCCTCCACCTCTCCCGGTATCTCTGCCTCCGGTTCCTCTTTCATTCCTACCTCGCCGTTCCGGGGTGTCCCTGGGTCCCCGGCCCCACTCGCCCGCCCCGACGCCGCCGAGCAGGGCGAGCCCGGCAAGTGCGCAGAGCAGCGGCTGCATGGTTCGGAGCCACCAGGAGCGAGCGCAGCTGTCTGTCCGTAGCCGCCTCCCCGGGATCGCGCCCGCCCGGCCCGAGGAAATGCAGTCCGAGCCAAAATTCCTGGGCGTCTCCGGGCTTCTAGCTCCAGAGAACCCGCCCCCCTACAGAATCCCCACCATAGCCTGTGAGAAGGCGCAGCCCAGGATCCCATCCATCCCCAAGGCCACCGGGCATCCTGTCCAGCTCCCCGACCCCACCCCTGAACCTGGGACCCTGGCAGAGAAGTCGGGAACGCTGCTTCTGGGGTCACTACTCTTTTTGAGCCCACTTCACAGTCAGCCAGACTGAGCTCAAGAATGAGGACTTTCCTCTGTGTCCCTCCCAGGATGTTGCAGGGTCTAAAGCCAGGATTCCTAGGACCTGGAAGTGTTCACTGCCTACTTCTGAGTCAGACAGACATGAAGGCTCATGGCTTCAGACAGGGACTGAAGGCCTAGTGCTGCGGTCCGCAGAAACTCACTGGTAAAGACCATTTAACTCCTTACTAAGGAGTGAAGGCATGAGATGCTACAAGGCGTCCAAACGACTTTGCAGATCCCGGCTGGGTATTGGCCAGTCAGTCTGTGCCCTTGAGGGCGTCTGGCCTTTCACAGGGTGAGCAAAGAATCCAGCAGTAAGTGAGCTCATCACGGTCAGAATTCACAAGTCTAGAAAGGCGTTGTCTCACACCTTTATCAGTTACTTACAAGTTACAATCTGCGAAGTAGCTTAAAAAAAAAAAAAAAGCAAGGGATGTCCCAGAGGCACAATAGAATTGAAATCACAGCAGTTAGCAAATGTGTTAGCCCTGTACTAGGTAGGGGTTTAGTGCATGGAAAATATATAAATAAAAAAGGAAGGACATGACTGCTCCCGGGTGTGGTGGAGGAGAACGTTTATGGTAGATAAAAGGGAGAGCATAGCCAGAAACATCTGGGAGAGTCCAGAGTAGACATGAGCCTGGCCATATGAGGAGGTGGGGTGTGGGGTGTGGGGTACCAGGGGCAGTAGCCAGGAGGGCAAAAAGTGAAAGAGAGGCGGGTAATCAAAACGGCTGGCATGGTGACATATACATATCTGTAATCCAGAACTTAGAAGGCTTAGGCAGGGGGTAACAACAGGTCAAGGTCAGACTGAATTACATAGTGAGATCCTGACCCTAAATAAATAAATAAATGAGTAGCATATGAAATAGGTAATACATCACTGTTAAATCACAATGTATGGGCCCATGTAACAACTCAGTGGGTAAAGATGTCTGCTAACCTGGGTTCGAATCCTCATTGGGAAAGACCCTGACCTTCACAAACACCATGTGGTATTGCACACACACACACACACACACACACACACACACAGATACACATACATACATTCACACACAGAGAGGAATAAAAGTAATTAAAAAATAAATTAACTGGTGAGTGTGATGCACACACCCTTTAATGCCAGAGGCAGGTGGGATTTCTGTGAGTTTGATTCGACCCTAGTCTACATAACAAGTTCCAAGCCACAATGAAACCTAGTCCCCAAAAAACCTATTTAAAAAACAAAATAATAAAGTATAGGATGTAAAACATGAACACTCTGTTGCTAGCTGCTCCTACTCAATAGCCTTAGTCCAGTCCCCTCAGCTTGGTGGCTTCTTCCTCTTCGTCTACAAATTCTGTATCTTTTCAATATACATTAAGCTATGGGATGAATAAAAAACACCATAGAAATTAGTACAACCACACCCATTTAGTTTTTTCTAAGAGTGGCAAAAGGAGAGATGGATTGTTGGCTAAGCACTTGTGTTGCTCTTCCAGAGGCCATGAACTTCCAGCATACATGGTAGTTCACAACAGTCTGTAACTCCAGCTCTAGGGGATGCCCCCTTCTGGCTTCCAGGGGGTATTGTGCACACGGTGCACACGGTGCACACACACACACACACACACAGGCAAAACACCCATACACAGAAAATGACATTAGAGTAATTAAAAATTAATAAGTGAAACAAAAAAGAAGGCATCACAAAAGATCCCAGGAATGCATGTATAACTATGTATCTAGTATTTTTAACTAATAGACACGTAGTCATTGGTTTTCCACACTATAAAATACTATTTTTAAAAATGTAGCCAGGCGCTGATGGTGCAAGCCTTTAATTCTAGCACTTGGGAGGCAAAGGCAGGTGGATCCCTGTAAGTTCGAAGCCAGACTGGGCAGATAGGACCAAAGAAAGAAACCCTGTCTTGAGGACTGGAGAGATGGCTCAGAGGTTAAGAGCACTGACTGCTCTTCTGGGGGTCCTGAGTTCAATTCCCAGTAACCACATGGTGGCTCACAACCATCTGTAATGACATCTGTTGCCTTCTTCTGATATGCAGGCAGAACACTGAATATGCAATAAATAAAATAAATCTTTAAAAAACCCTGTCTTGAAAAAAAAAAAACACATGCTTGATTAATACCCAGTTTCTAGTGCCAGATGCTAAAGGGCAATTTATTGTTTATTTACCACTGTACCAGGCCAGCAACGAAGTTTTTCTGCCATCCACTAGAGGGCACTCTCTTTCCAGCTCTTTTATTTGTTTGTTCTTGTTTTTGTTTTTTGTTTCTCTGTAACTTTGGAGACTGCCCTGGGGCTTGCTCTGTAGACCAGGCTGGCCTCAAATTCTCAAAGATCCGCCTGCCTCTGCCTCCCTAGTGCTGGAATGAAAGGCGTGTGCCGCCACCGCAGGGCTCTTAAAATTATTTTTAATGATGTGTGGTGGGTACAGGTACCTGAGTGCAGGTTCCATGGGAGGCAGACCTGTCAGATCCCCCTGGAGCTGGAGTTACAGGTGATTGTGAGCCACCTGATATGGTGCAGGGAATGAAACCTGACTTCTCCAGACGAGAAGCTCTTAACTTCGGAGCCATCTCTCCAGCCCCTATTTAAAAAAAAAAAAGTATTTATGTGTGTCCGCAGTGACCATGGAGGCCAGAAGGTGGTAGACTTGCTTGTTCTCTTACAAAGTCCAGCAGCGCCAGAATGACACGGGTCCACACACACACTGGCAGCAGCGCAGTGTTTGGAGAGCCGCTTACTTCCTCACCCACAGAAGCCAACCTAAAGACGCAGAGGGGCCCTAACAAGACCGGACGTAGTACACACTACTAAGGCTCACCTTCAGCATTTTCCAGAAATAAGCCCTGACATTGAAAACGGAGGTGGGAGGTTGGGGGGGCTGGAGAAATTGCTCAGTGGTTTAAGAGCACTGACTGCTCTTCCAGGGAACCAGGGGTTCAAATCCCGGCACCCACACGGCGGCTCCCAACTGTCCGCAACTCCAGGATCCGACAGCCTCACACAGACATACATATAGGCAAAACACCAATGCAAATAATAAATTAAAAAAAGATGAAAAAATATACAACACGCCGGGCGTTGGTGGCGCACGCCTTTAATCCCAGCACTCGGGAGGCAGAGGCAGGCGGATCTCTGTGAGTTCGAGGCCAGCCTGGTCTACAAAGCGAGTTCCAGGACAGCTTCCAAGATAATACAGAGAAACCCTGTCTCGAAAAAGCAAAAAAAAAAAAAAAAAAAAAACCAAACAAACAAAAAATATATATATATATCACATCCGCTGTAGTTATTGGAAAACGGAGGTGGGCGTCAACGGATGGAACCAGTGGGACACACCAGGCAGCGGCTTGGGCGGCAAGGCAGAGCGCGTGGGCAAGCTGACTGGGTGGCTGTCGTTAAGTTCCTGGTTACTCTTGTTATTTTCTCACTGCCTTCTCTGAACGCCGTGCTCAGCGAAGGCTGCACAGCTCTTAGCACCACTTGAGGCAATCAGCAGTTACGGATTAAGTGGTCCCGTGTCCGGAGCGGGGCGCCTACCTGTGCCTACCTGCGCAGCTCGCTTCATTGTGTGAACTCTTGGGCCCTGGGAACATCACCAGTTCAGTGAGGGGATGAGTAGGGTTGGGACTAGCAAGTGGGGTTGCTTGGCGGCTGGCCGTGGTGGACCTGTGTGCAGTTTGGGTACTCATGGCCTGTCTCAGAGGGAAGTACTCTTTCTAGAAGAGCTACTCCCCCCCAATCCTGGAAAACGCCTATTTCCCTGCCAGGTAGCACAGAAATCCACCTATAGTGGCGTGCGGGGCTCAGAGAACCTAGGATGTGGCCATTCTAGGGACCCAAGCAGCCGGCTCCAATGTAGCCTCAGGCCACGGCATGCTGTAGCCTATTTTTGGAACTCCTAGGCCTGGGCTGCTGGGGGACACATGTTGGGAAATCTGGCAGGGGCTTCTTCTCCTTGCTCATGGCCAAAGGCAGGGAGCCAAGGGAAAGCAGGAAATAGAGGCTGGCTGGACTTCTGGGTACAGTGCTTGGGCGAGGGGGTCTGTCCAACCAGAAGAGCCTCAGTGGCTGGCTGGGGGGTTTGGAATGAACAAAGCCGTCTTGTCCTCTGCTTTTGGCACCAAACAAGGATTTCCAAAGCCACAGAGAGGCCTGGGCTAAGGAAACCCTCCTCGATGCAAGGAACAAGGCCAGCTTCTCTATGGAGGACAGTTGCTGGTCCAGGGCTCACCGAATTAACAGTCAGAGAAAAGGTGTTACTGGGTTGGCCCGGACATCTCTGGTGGGTTGAGGAGAGGAAGCAGAAGACTCGAGATATTGAAATTTGACACTTTTAAAAATAATAATAATTATTATTATTATTGAGACAGGGTCTCATGTAGCCCCAGGCTAGCCTTGAACTCACCATGTGGCCAGGAAGGACCTCAAACTTCTGATCCTCCTGCCTTCAGTTCTGGGATTACAGACGTGCTCTACCATGTCTATGAGGTGCTGGGGGTTGAATCCAGGACTTTGAAAATGCTAAGTGAGCGCTCTGCTTACTGTGCTACAGCCCCAGGTGTTCCTGGGTCCCAAACACTCCCAGGAGGGAGGAGGTATGGGAAGATGAGGCAATCTCTTCAGTGCAGGGAGATGAGAAACATAGAGGGTGAGGGGAAAGGTGATTGCTAACAGTGGTGTGGTACCTGCCAGCTCAGCTCTAGGGTGCTCACACTCGCAGCGCTGA